CAAAAAGAAAAGGTTAATCACTAATAGTACCACTAGAACCAACAGAAATATAGGTTATTTCTTCTTCCGCAACTGGCTTTGGGTTTACAGCTTCGACCTCTGTAAGGGCAAGTCCGAGATGCTCAACCTCGGACGAACGACAGTAATTTCCCTTGTTGCTCAAGTAAAGGATAAATCCAAAGGTTCCCACTCAAACAGTTGCATGACAACAACAGTAGGCATGTCTGTATCTGATCCTTTATAATAAGCTGCGCAGCAGTCACGATGGACATCCGTGCATTTGAATATCTCTCAAATTCTCAGTCCCAAATTAACCGTCTGGAGATACACATCAGATCCCGAATATCTTGCCGTCTGGAGATACACATTAGATCCCGGATATCTTGCTTGGCATACCATGTGGGTTCCTCATTGAAACCTATAAATACCCCTTAAGGGCCACGACGAAAAGGTAATTAAAACCAACCCTAAGCTCCTTGTTTCTCCGCTCTAAAGGTAGCCCCGATTCTTGCTGACTTAAGCATCGGAGTGTCTACCCCGAGGTTCCATCTCGGGGCTTTGCAGGTCAATCCAGAGTGCAGATACGGACTGAAGAAGGACTTCTAGTTTGGTGCAGTTACATTTTGGCGCCGTCTGTGGAAATCTGAACTAAAGGCTCCCTTGTTGCTCTTATCATGGTTAAAACTAGGTCAGCCCGAGGTGGAAACTCGTCTCAGCCTCTTGGACGAGGTCAGGTCCCCAGCAACCTTCCGCCTCATCCCCCACCCCCAATCCCAAATACGTTCCCTCCTGTTGATCATGCAGAAGGAGAAGACGAAAATCAACCACACAATTCGGTTCACAACTCAGCCTCTACTGCTAACCAAGGCGTAGTTGCAACTCAGCTCGCTGCCATGCAACAGCAGTTTGGTGTCTTTCAGTTAGTACTAGCACAGCTATTAGCCCGGAATAATCCTGGTGATCCATTCATCAACCTACTTAATCCTGCTCCACAACCTCCAGCCCCACCACAAAATCCTAAACCAGTTCAGCATGCTCCTGTTATTAGTGAATCTCAGGGCCAATCTCACTTCGCGCCAGTTCAGCAACCCCTTCATGGTGATGTCACTCGACGTCTAGATAGCTTAGAAAAGCTAGTGGTTGAACAGCGAGGTGCCCCACCCCCGCACCCTGCTGCTGACTCCGTGGCCCACCCTCTCAACACCAATATTATACTAGAACCTTATCCTGCTGGCTTCAGAATACCACAACTTGAAACTTATGATGGGATGAAGGACCCCGATGATCATTTACATGCTTTCTACTCTTGCATGCAGGCCCAGAACGCCTCTGATGTGTTGATGTGCAAAATCTTTCCCTCTACCCTCCGAGGTAATGCTCGAACCTGATACTACAGTCTGCCTCCGAGGTCAATCAACTCTTACACAGAAATGGCATATGCTTTTGCCACAAAGTTTTCCAGTAAAAGGTTGATCAGGAAAACCACTTCTGAGCTGATGCGAGTTAAGCAGAGGGACGGAGAGTCTTTGAAGAATTTTATGAGCAGATTCAATGATACAGTACTGGAGGTTAACTCTTTCGACCAAGCTGTGGGAATTACAACTGTGATCTCAGGTCTTAGCCATGAGAGATTCCGAGATAGTTTGCTCAAACATCCTGCCAACACCTTCAGCGAGGTAAATGATAGATCGTTGAAATTCATAACTGCTAAGGAATATGCCTTGTCGCAGAACCTAACTCCTATTAAGAGCCAACACCCGGACTGGAGAGATGAGAATCCGAACAGGAAACGGATGAAGACAACACAGAACCGAGGTCCGATGTCGACTTCCACCCCGAGATTCGGAAGGCCGAACTCAGCACCTCCACAACAACCTGCAGGTAAATCTCCAGTTAATTGGACTCCTTTTAATTTACCGAGGTCACAAATCTGTATGCAGATTAAGAATAAAATGGACTTATGACGTCCGGGCCCAATGAGAACTGTTGTTGCTACCAGAGACCATACTAGGTACTGTGATTTTCATCAAGATCACGGTCATACAACAGAGCAATGCAATAGTCTGAGGTCTGAGCTGGAAAGTCTGGCGCAGAAAGGAATGTTGAATGAGTACATCCAGAGAGTGGAATAGCCAAGGTTTGTCAGAGAACAAGGGCCACAACATCAAGGAGTCCGCAATCCCCCAAATAGGCAAGGTGTGGGATATCAGCAGGCCCCACCACCACTCCCCTCACCAGCTAGAGTCATACACATGATTACGGGAGGTCTGGAAGCAGGTGGACTGAGCTCTAAGCAGCGAAAGTTGTATGTCAGAGAGGTTAAGCATCAGAACCGAGCTCAGAAGCGAAAATTTGACGATGCTGAGTGGAAGAATCAACCCATCACTTTCACATCTGCTGATCTTGAAACAGTTGTCACACCTCACAATGATCCTCTAGTCACTTCTGTCACAATCAACAATTGTGAGGTGCAGCGTGTCCTTGTTGACATAGGGAGTGCACCAGACATCATGTACTTCCATTGTTTTGAGAGTCTTGGATTAGATTCAGCCCTGTTGCAACGGTATGACGGTCCCATTTACGGGTTCAACAACCAACCAGTTCCAGTTGAAGGAGTCCTCACCATGAATGTTGCATTTGGAAGTGGCCGAAGTTATGTGACCCCTTCCGTGAGGTTTTTAGTAGTCAAGATGGCGTGCTCTTTCAACGTTGTCATCGGCCGACCTACACTGACTGCAATCCGAGCTGTGGTTTCCCTGTCTCACCTATGCATGAAATTCCCAACTCCTACGGGAATAGCAACGCTGCGAGGCAACCAGGAGGTAGCCCGATATTGCTATATCACCTTGGTCACGCAACCTCAAAAAGGTAAAGATCAGACGCCCGAGGTCAATCCCAAACGGATTCTTGACAATCGGCAAGTTATGGGTGTGGAGATAGTAGATAACCGATCAGAAGATGAAACCAGAGCTGCTGCAGCCGAAGATGTGGAAGAGGTACAGATTGATGACAGAGATCCGAGCTGGAAAACACAAATTGGGACTAAATTGAACCCGGAGGAAAGAGCAGAGCTAATAGCTTTTCTTCGGGCCAATAAAGATGTTTTTGCATGGACTTCAGCAGATATGCCGGGAATTCCCACTTCAGTTTTTCAACATAAACTCAGCACCAATCCCCTTAAGAAACCCGTAGCCCAGAAGCGACGCCTCTTCGGGGGGGAGAGGTTAAGGGTTATTAAAGAAGAAATCGAGAAACTCCTACAAGCCGGCTTTATCAGAAGGGTAGATTACTGTGAGTGGGTCGCTAATTCGGTGTTGGTGAAAAAAGCGAACGGTAAGTGGCGGATGTGCATTGATTACACTAACCTCAACGATGCATGTCCAAAGGACTGTTATCTAATGCCAAACATTGATAAGCTGGTTGAGGCAGCTTCGGGAAATGAGAGATTAAGTCTCTTGGATGCATACTCAGGCTACCACCAGGTCCCAATGGCTCCTGGGATGAAGAAAAAACCTCGTTCTATGTTGGCGATGAGATCTATTGCTATGTAATGATGCCCTTCGGCTTGAAGAACGCAGGTGCCACTTACCAGAAGATGGTTACCATCGTATTCCGAGCTCAGATAGGACGGAATCTGGAAGTTTATGTTGATGATATAGTGGTAAAGAGTTTGAAAGCTGACGATCACTTAACCGACCTTGAGAAGACATTCAACAATCTCAGACAGAATAGAATGAGGTTAAACCCAGCCAAATGCATCTT